CTCGAGGGAACCCTATGGGGTTGGCGTGACTAGTAGTCACGGGGAATTAAAATGGTGAATTCTAAATGAATATGTGCCCACGGGCCGACTACTTGACTTTATATAAAGTAAGTACATTAATTTATAAAGGGGTAACCGAGGTTTATGGCCTATAATATAATATCACCCTAGATTGAGGGTCTTTGAATTTGAAACATTGATTATACTTAGTATAGTTGTCATTGTACTTGTCAAATGCTTCCAAGTACTGACCTCCCCTTCACGGGGGAGGCCACCTCACAGTTTCAGGTAGGAGCTGAGCTTGCTACCATTGCCCGTGGCTTCGGGAAGGTGCTAGGAGAGAAGACGTGGTTCGTGCTTCCTCCATTTCTGTTTCAAAACAATTATAATAGTGCTCATGGATATTATTTTTGAATAATTATTTGGGGGCTTGTATGCCCATGTTTGCCAAAGTGTGGCTAAGACACCTTTATTAAATGCTTTCGCCGTTTTAAATAAATGTTTTACATTATGTTTGTTTATGGATGTATTATGTGTGAATGGTATTCAAGACGCCTTGTATAGTATGGATGAGTTGGACTGTGGTTGACTATTCGTACTGTACGATGGGTTGTTGACGTGTCCGGGTAGGTCTAAGGCGTGACATTTATGTCATACCTTCATGTCATCAGTGGTTATATTTATCTCTCCTTTACAGAGCTTTGCTTGCATCACGTACAACAATCCTTCCTTGTTTCCTCTAACCATGACTAGACTTCCTTTGGTGAGCTTCCATTTTCCTTCACCAAAGTAATTCATCAGACCAGTATCATTTAACTTTCCAACGGAGATAAGATTGAGGCGCATGGCCGGAACATGGCTCACATCTTTTAGAACAAGCTTGAATCCAGTGCTAGTTGTCAGGACGATGTCTCCTATCTCAACTATCTTGCTCCTATCTTGGTTTCCCATTTGAACCGTACCAAAGTCACCGCTTTGGTAGGATGAGAAGAAACTTCCATGGGGAGTGACATGGAAGAAAGCACCAGAATCGATAATCCAAGAACTATCATCATAAGCAATATTGAGGATATTACCTTCTGCAACGAGATATAGCAGATCTTCTTTTGCGACTACGGCAGTGGTACTCTTCTCTTCTTTCTTCTTCATTCAACTGACTTGGTCTGGTTTGACGTTACCGTCCTTTTGATCTCTTCTGAAGGATCGACACTCCATTTTCCTGTGGCCCATTCTTCCACAGTAGTAGCATGTGATCTTCGAGCGTGACTTGGACCTACCTCGAGATTGTTGCGGATCTCGGCTCTTACTGCGTCCATGAGTCTCAATCCTACCCCGGTTCTCGATAACATTAGCCTCGGGATGCATAGACTCACCTCGTTCCATTCTCCTTATTTCTTCACCAAGAAGACTATCATTGACGGTGTCCATGGTTAGATTTCTTTCCAGAGCTGAGTTACCACGATTGTGTCCCAACTTTCTGGCAAGGAACTAAGGAATAGGGCTTGCAACTCGTCATCTGTAAGGAATAATTGTAATTAGATTTTGATGACGCTATATTAATCAGGACTTTAGAGTACCCCTCTTTAGAAAACTATATTAGAATTTTTCTAAGTGTAAAGCATTCTTAGAATAGTCGACTGACAGAAGACCTTGTGGCTGCCTGTTAGACTCTGTCTGGACAGAAGACATTTTGGCTCTCTGTTGATCTCTATCTAGACAGAAGACCTCTTTGGCTCTCTGTTGGATGTTTACCTCAACAGAAGATCTCAAGGCCCTCTGTTAGCTTCTATTTCAACAGAAGTGCTCAAGGCCCTTTTTGATTGATTCTCTGTTCAAATATACAAGAAGGCCTGACACTTGGAGAATTTTCAGAAATCTATCTAAGCCGGTGAAATCAACAGAAGATTCCCTCAACGGCTAGAAAAGTTCAACAGAAAAGCTACAGTACGCGCATTTAATGCTCATTTAATGAGCCCTGTACGCTATAGAGTAAAAGCTGATGATTGGCAATATTACAGGATAACTTTATCCCGAAATAGCAACTCGCCAACTTTCTTGGGTCCTACCGGTCAACTCACCTGAACGCGCATTTAATGCAGTTGTCCTCCTTCCCCAACGGGAAGACATTCCTAGTATATATGATACCGCGCGAAAAACAACCGGATAACTTTTTTTTTGCTCTAACAACAAACATTCAAACTCAAAATGTTTTCTTGAGACTTCAACTTCATCTTCCTCAACAAGAAAAATCTACGTTGGAAAGATATTATTTTCATATCCTTTCTTCCAACAAAGAGAAAAGTTTCGAGTTCTTCAACAACTTCAAACTCTTCATCTACACATCCATCGTGACGAAGCAAGTTGGAGAACCCCTGTTTTACAAAGAAATCTTCTTTAACTAGAAGGACGTCTAAGTAACTGGAGTAGTGAAGTGGGCATACTTCAAGGAAGCTCAGTGAAAGGACCAGTCTTAAAGGAAGCCAGGAAGTGCATCCTAGGAGACATCTACACTTGAAGAAGGCGTGGAGAGCTTCTTAAGTGCTAGGACTAAGGCCGTGTAATCTGCGTTTTTACAAGCTTAGTGGAATAGTGGATTAGAGGAACACGTTGTTTCTTGAACCACTATAAAAATCCCTGGTGTCACTTACCTACTGCTTTTAATTCTCGCATTTATTTTAAATTGTTTAACTCAATTAACTTGGTCTCTGTGTTCAGCAGAACATGTCTTGTGAGTTAACCGAAGGCCTACTGCCTTTGCATCTCTATGAGGCTAATCAGACAGAACCCCTACCAGGATACCATCCGTTGCTAGTCTGTTCTGCCAACAGAATAGGCTATTCTGTGAAAACAATCTCTTATCTTGAAAAAGTCAAAAACCAGTACAGTCTATTCACCCTCCCTCTAGACTGTACCCAGTATAACCGGGACCAACATCATCAATTTTCATCTCAATTTTGGTTAATTGATTTACGAGCCCTTAAAATTGTTCAAGTGTTCAATCATACTATGACCATCCTTATACTCCAACTTCACCAACCGTCGAACTAAATTGGCCTTATTACGAGGAGTTTTCTTTTGAATCATGGACTCAAGCTTTGTCCATAACTCATAAGGATTCATGTAAGTGGACACATGCTCGAAGAGGGATTTGTCGATGTACTTACGGATCATAGCAACGACCTTCCAATTCAGTAGCTCCCATTGAGCATCGCTCTTGCCTTCCACCTTCTCTTTGTAGATGATGGGCTCATGCAAATCCTTGCAATATAGATGATCCTCAATCATCGGCTTCCAATATGAGTAGTTGTTGGCGGTGAGTTTGAACATGTCTCCATCATGGACGACACTATCCTCCATCTTGAACTGCACGAGCTAATGACGACCTCAAATGAACATGTCTCTGATACCACTGTTGGGAAAACTCCGGACTTTCCCGCTTCGTGAAGTTAAGATAGACACTAAAGAATTAAAGTAGTAATGAGAGCACACGATTTAAATTCTCCAATATGAAGATTCTTCCACTATACAAAAGAGTAGTAGGATTTACAAGGATGCTACAAAATTGTCTCACTCAATGGTGGATCACTCAAGCTTGAGGATAGGAACTTCCCAAGCTATATCTCTTCTCTCTCAAAGAGGCTCTCTAACTTTCTTACTCTAAGAAGTGGATTCACTCTTGGCTAGGATGGTTAGGAATGAAGACATCTACTCCTATTTATACTACTTCACCTCTATAATGAATGGTGGAGAGTAGTTCTCTAGAATGCTCTACATATGCCTACATATTCTAGAGAACTCCAAGGAATCTCTACACCTCTCAATTCCCTTCCATATGCTTCCATAAGATTCCGGAAGGTTCCACACATCTCCAGAATGTTCTAGACGATTCCACATCATTCCACAAGCTTCTAGAGAGTTCTAGACTTCTCCAGAATTCTCCGGAACGTTCTAGAAAACTCTATACTTATCTAGAAAGCTCTAGAATTTTCTAGAACCTCTCCAGTTAAGGAGGGATCCCAACAGCTAGTAAATTTTTGCCTTTTTAAATAGTGAGTATAGCCTAAAACGAATACGATAAAATTCTGCACAACTACGAGGGTCGCTCTTGTCGCGAAGCCACACCAGTCTTCTTTTGCATGTATCTATCTGACACCGAAAACCTCTTCGTCGCCCCCTATTCCATCGCTGCAACTCCTTGCCGAAAGATATTCTATCAATCAAAGCAAAAGAGACTCCAACCCTCTAGCTATTGTAGACAATAATAGAACACTCTTCCTCGCTAAGCCCTTGCGGTTCCAACTAATAACTCTCATACACGTGCCAATGAAAACAAGCCAGAAATAGCTTAACATAGGACAAAGTGACCAGATCATTACCGTAAAATAAATACTAGGAAAAACCCTAGATGACTGCCTCTTTCATTTTTCTTGGAAATGCATGTATTCATGGCTCACAGCTAAGGAACTTAATTGGGAGGAACCAAATACCCCATAGATCATAAAATTTGTGAAATTTGATATATTTTTAATATAAATTACAGAAAAAATATAAAAGTTATTGCACTTTAAAGAAAAACGGATTCTTTTTATCCTGACCGCAACACCGTACCCGCTTTTCTCCTCTTTCTCACACGCATAGGCTGCCTTTGATTTTTTAGAAGGGAAAGTCACCACTTGAATTGACGGTTTACATTAATCGTAATTAAATTCAACAGTATTTTGATAAATACTTTTAACTCGAACTAATTTCGTAAATAATTTTTTAGTATTATTTTAGGGGGAACTCTCTGAATTAACTAAATTCCATGAAGTTATTTTTAGCTGTTTTATGTGTTTTTATTCATTGTATTAATAAATTATATTCATATAAATTTTTAACAATTCAACCAATTAAACCATTTCAATTATAAATTTTATTAATTTCAGCAGATTTAGATGCAAAATAAAAAAATATATGAATGCAATTTGGATTTAAATTAGTAAAAGAGCTACTGCACTTACTAGGTACCATATTTACCGGCATGCCCATCGAATTCTTGATGAACGTTTGAGATGGGATTTTGCATAGATTGGTACACATTCCAACACAGTTGGTTTCCTCCAAGAACCTAATATAATGAAAATTAAAATTAAAATTTAAAAAAATTAAAATTTTCTGTGTAATTTCAAAAATATGAAAATGAGAATATTATGTGACCGATGGAGTAGTAAACATGTATATTGTTATTATTTATTCATTTCTCATATATAGTTTTCAGATTGTAACTTGTGAATCTCAAGAAGAGAAAGCTATTGTTCATCCATATTGCAAATTATGTACATAAAAAAAATGTCAAATAGTGTCGAAACAGTGTCAAAACGGTAAAATTTATCCCTCAGTAAATTTATTTTCTTAATATGGTCCTGTTTGTTTTTCGGCGGATTGATGTCTAACAGTTACAAAATGTAGCGTTTTGCAGTTCAAAACCATCAACGAATTGTTCAAACCGCTACTATCAAAACGAGAGCTATGTGTGAAATCCAAGTGGGAAATTGTTTTCTGGGACGGGGGAGTATGTTATCAAAAAGCTAATTGTAATCTTCAAATTGACTGGTTACTGGCCTAGTGGGTGTCTTCCGTCATATATGCAGTTCAGTATCGATTCATGATTCATCACCTAATCTTTTGGTTAGTCTAGTGGGTTTCATAAAACATGCACAAGGAACGAGTTTGGCTAAGGTGTAATTTATTCTTTTTTTAAAGCAAAAGTAGAATCAGAATTAGTTTTTCAGAAAGTGATATGCACATCTCCTCTAACTCCTAAATACTAGCATATCCGTTTCTGTTACCTGAAAGAGCAGAAACAATTTTGTAAAGGAAATTCAAACACCCTAAGTCTTGTAGAACATATATTTTAAGAGTAGTGGTATTTCACCGAACCTGCATTTCTTTATGTGGACAACATTCTTTTCGCTTCTCACTTCAACCTCTCCTTTCTTCACCTAAAACCCAAAATGTATAAAAGGCTAACACATAAAACCAATATTCGGCATAACACTTCTATGTTAAGTGCATGTTTGGTAGGAAAAATCTCCTACCTTCTAGTTTTTATGCAGTCTAAAAAATCTTCTTGTTTTTTGTTTCGCACAACATTTTTTAATATTTTTTTAAAAATAAAAGATCTTTTTAGAGAAGTTGGACTGAATAGCTTTTGACAAAAAGTTTGTAACTTTTAAAATTTATTAATCACAATAGATGGGCACACCAACCTGAACTAAATCAAACAGTCAAATCTAAGTAAATTTTGATATAGATATGGGAGAAGAAACCGTGAAACTTGATCTGGACCGCAGAATCGACCAGACAATTATTTGAGAAGACGTAAATTGAGCTATAATCTTAGTCTAATTGAAAAAGAGTGAAGTTTCATTCCAAATGGTCGCTTAAAGTTGAACACAGGACTTCTCCGATAATGTGACATTCCTTTTCTATCAGGTGAGCTACTATCCCCATAATCTAATTAGTCATATTTACGATGCGCAGTATCCATTGTGCTGTTTAAATTGCGGTAATTAAACAGTGTAATTAATGGAACGTAAGAACGCACCTCGCACGGACCAACTAGCCAGGTAAAGAAAAGTGTGGTGAAGGCGGCGCAGTATTCACTTCCCAACGGCAAAAGTGGAAGCACCATACGCATCTGTCGGCTCCATCATTCACATACCCTTATTATAAATCAAAAATGATTTGTACACAAAATATCTATATTTTTTGTGCGTTTTTTATATATTCCGTAAAAAGGGAAAATTGCACTTTCTGTCCCTTAATTAGTATTCATATTAAAATGTGACCTTGTATTTTTGTTTTTGTTTTTGCACTTTCAATTGTCCAAATTGTTTAAATGCAATCTTTCGGGGGTGACATTCACAATGTGAGGGAGAATCACATTTACTACAATCTGAATAATTGGGGGCGACAGATTGGCAGTCACAATTGAAAATACGGGAATTACATTTCAATATGAGCACTATTCTAAAAAATCGAAAATGTAATTTGTTCTATATAAAACCTTTTTTATAAGTACATATAGAGTTGCATGTTTAACACATCTATCACGTGATTCACGTCAGTTAGTAATTTCAGCCACACTTATATATTTATCGTTTGCATTATAGTTTCAAAGAGTAATTGTTGATATGTGCTTAGCTACATGAGATATAAGTAACCAGGTACCAGGGGTATTAACTTGTACATACTTAATTTGTTCTAAACGAATATTTTTGAGTTCTGATCTATACAAAAATTGCCGGAATATATAATTCTATACAATTTCTCATTTCCTAATACTTTGTATTCCCCGTCCTAAAAAAGTTCACTATATTGACCTTTTTTGATCAATAATAATCAATTTTGATCAATGATATTTTTTAATACAAAATTATTTGGAATAAGAAAACTATGTTAATTAAAATGTTTCTCATTCAAAATATTTTCGTAAAAGTATAAAACTTCTAAATTATATACAAATATAATAATTAATATCATTGCTCAAAATTTTTCATCATTGACAAAGAACAGTCAATATGAGTATATGACAAACTTTTTCAAGACAAAGGTAGTATTAAATTCTTAACTCAAATGTTTCATTAAAGATGTTTTTAATTGAATTGTTGTTTTTAAATCTAGTTTGGTATGGTCTAATATATTTGATAGGATGTTTTCAAATCTAGTTTGATTTGATATATGTCTATTTGTGTACTTTACAATTAGTGAAGTCTAATAGTAGTATGATATATTCTAATCATCTGATCTGGACAACTTAAACCATATTTGAGTTGATTTTGTGGAATGATCTGATTTAGTCTAGGGTTGAAAGTAATCAAGTTAATTAATAACATACAGAATGAAACGATGCTAAATACTCTTTCCGTCCGTTAAAATTTGACTAGAAGTAATTTTGAAGTTTGTGCAGAATCATAAATTCTTTATTTAAAAACAAAAGTAAAAAAACTAGTGACAAGATTGGAGAAAAATTGGCAAAAGTTTAAGAGGGGGAGAGGGGTATTAGAAAGCACTTACCAACAAAAGAATGGGCCCGGGAATGGCATTTTGAAGAGCCTGGAGGACAATTTTCTGCTGTTGAGCCGAGTCGAAGTTTCGAGAAATTGCTGTTGCTGCCTCCACTAAACCATCGTACCCTCTTGTTTTATTTCGTAGTCCTGCAAATTTTCTTTTGAGTCAATTTAGTTTATGGCAAAATGTGGCATACAAAAATGTGGCATACAAAAATGTGGCATACAAAAATCCAGAAAAGACATTGTTTTTACTTAGATTGTAATTTGATGATCTGCTCTGTTTTGTTTAAGTCTGGTATGATTTGGTCTGTTTAAATCTGATTTGGTCTAGTCTAGTCTAGAAACGTCTGGTCTCTATGTATTTTATAACTACGGCAGTCAGGTCTGATCTGATCTGTTCTGGACTTCTAGTCAATTTAAGTTTGACGTGGTCTGATATGGTCTGTTTAAGTCTGATCTAATCTATTCTGGAATCGAAACAATCCAAGTAAAAACATACTCCCTCCGTCCTAGTAAACTAATAAAGTAAAAACTGTGTGGTTGAAATTTGTGCAGAGGAGAGAGAATTAATTTTAGCCACATATTCCTTACTTTAAATAGAAATGACAAATCTTTTTGGGACATCCAAAAAAGGAAATTTGGTCAACCTTTTCGAGACGAATGGAGTAATTTTTAGAATTATTTGGCCCGGGCCGGGAAATTTTGGACTAGGTAGATTCTATGGTACCATTAAGGTACCATACCTTTGTCTACATGGACCAATAAGAATGATGTAGTTGAATTATTTAAATCTAAATTAAAAATGATGTAATGATTTGAACTAATCAAGTGAGTGTAGAGGCATAGAGCCATACATCAATAAAAATTACACTCACATTCCTTGTTTATTTTCGATCGTTTTTGGATCAGGTCATATATAGTGTTTTTGGATATATAATATATATCTCTTATAAATTACACTCAGTATTACTATCACATGGTATCGGAGCCTGACTCTAAAATATAACCTCTTTTTGAACATTTAATTTGTAGTAATGTCATATATAATTTAAAATACGACCTTTTATTATCATTCTCATTAAGACTTATTATTATTCTCACATTGTATCAGAGCCTGACCCTAAAAGACAACCTTTTATATTTTATACACATATTCAGATGGTTCCGTTGAGCGATAAAAAGCCCATTTGGTAGCTCAAGGATTTAATCTACAAGAAGGTATACATTTTTTGAAACCTTTAGCCATGTTCTCAAATCTACCATTGTTCATATTTCTTTGAAACCTTTAGCCATGCATCTACCCTCTTGTTAAGTTTTTTAAAACAAAAAACTAATGTACACACATATCTTGCGGCTCCCATAAACGTGACCCCCTCCTTTGCTGATACCTTCGGCTCTTGATAATGTCTTACAATCCTCGACAGTTGATGCTCCGTCTATAGCTCCATCAACTTGTGCAAGTATTATCTCTCAGGCATCAATATATTTTTCTGGATCGACGCCTGACTTGCACACCTTGGATTTCACCCATCTTCACTTGATCTCCATCCCCTTCGAATGCTCGCCGCAACTTTCGCTCACCACCTCTGACAGTTGTCCGTCAAGACCGATATTCAAACCATGTATCTCGAATATTTGAGATTCGCAGTTCCTTGGTCCCACTTTTGCAAGCTCTCTTGGGAGTTGGGACTTCTATACATTTGACATATTAGTTTCGGCCTTATCGTCCCAACATATATTGATTGGTTTCTCATTAACTCAATTCTCCCATCGATGGTGTTTTTTGTCCCAAATGTGATCAATATTGTCACCACTAAACTTAATAATGTGGAGGGTTATTTGTCATGGAGAACATAATTTGAACCATTCTTGGTGTCACAATATCAGAGCATTTTGGACTTTATAATGGTTCTCTATCTGCCTCGTCTCTGTATATTAAAGATTATCAGCATCCACATGTTTTAAATTCCTAATACTATCATTGGCTGTGATTGGATCGAACTGTACACTCTTGCAGGCTATTTGCAACTCTATCTTGTTGAGATTCATGAGCTCATAATTTTGGCTTCTATTTGGGATCTTCTTGAGGCCCGGTTTATGTCTTTAACTTTAGAAAGATCTATGGATCAATCTATAGATAATTATTAACGTGATATGAAGCTACTTGTAGATGCTTTAGCAGCCATAAACTCACATGTCTTCCGATACGACCTCATTCAGTATTTAATTCTTTGTCTAGGCCTGAAGTATGAAGCTTTTGTCACCTCGCTCAATGTTCTATCGTTCACTTTCAGTTTTGATGATCTCCGCATATGTTTGGTCCATGACATCGACTACAATATCTTCATTCCATGAAGTCTATTTCAATCCAACCGGCGTTTGCTGCTTGACTGCTTCATCCTCCGCCAAAGTTGCCAACTCAAGTACTTCGTCTTCTCATGGTGGCATTGTAGGCTTAGGGTTTGTGAACGGTCGAGGCCGCAATATCCAGGTCGAGGCAGTCACGGGAGGGGTCGCAGTTATGAGGGTCAGACTTCTCTATCGTACACTCCTTATCCGTTCAATGGTGGAGCTCTAATGACATCATATGGAAATTCATGAAATTCATCTTCAACACCATCCATATGGCATCATGTAACTCGATTTAATTATTTTTAAATGTTTTTCGCCCCTCTACTTTGTTTAAAAGTGATAGTTCTGGAGGTTCTTCATCATTTGGAATATATGATTATGTGTCTTCCCCTATTTTTTTATTAGATTTGTTTCTCACCAAGTCTGTTGCAATAACATGTTTATCTCGTTTTATCCCACCATCTGCACCTTCCCTTGTTACTTCTATTGAGCTTTTGTATACTATGTGGTAAACCAGGTTCTGGTGCCTCTGCTTATATGACGCCCAGGGGCGGAGGTGGAGGGGTGGTCAATCGGACCCCGGCCCAATCCAAATTTTGAAATTGCTTATATTTTTAATGTAAATATTTATGTGTAAAAATGTATATGTAAAAATTCTTTGTACCAGTCCAGCTCAACTCTTACTCTATGCTACGTCCCTGATGACGCCCCTAATGCCTAATCAGTCACCTAGGACCTCAAGATGCACCCAAGCATATTTTTGCTTTTCAATTTTTTTTAAGGGATATGTGTGTTTTTAAAGCTCACCACAAATATGAAGAAAGGTACGTATAAATTAAGATAAAAACTACTCCCTCCGTCCCTTATAACATTGCCAACTTTTCCTTTTTGGATGTCCCACTAACTTTGTCACTTTTCCTTTTAAGTAAAGAATTTGTGGTTATGGTTCATTCTCTCTCCTCTGCACAAACCTCAACCACACAGTTTTTACTTTATTATTCCCCGTGCCGGTCAAACTTGGTAAAATTATTAGAGACGGAGGGAGTACTATATTCGTCTCATTCAAAAGTCTTCGTCCACTATTTTTTTGTCAACATGAAGTCTTCTTAATCTTTTGCTTTATACGTACTATATCTAACTTTTATCAAATTTAAATTTTCTTTTGCGACTTTGTAAACTTTTAGAGTAGTTTCTGAATATATAACTTTTACTTACTTAAAAAATCTAATCACGGACATAAATAAATTAACTTTATGGTCAGTGAAACATCATAAACCACGTGACCTGATAACCTTTATACGGGATGGAGGGAGTATATATGTATGTCATATACTTAAATTTTACTATGTATTACGTAGTACTCCGTATTATTTATGGTTATAACATAATGAAGTTATTTAAGTAGTTATCATATATCATTTAATTAATATCATAAATGATATTAATGCATGTGTGTGATTCTTTATACACACAAACACAATATAACTCATCATATTTATGCAAAAAATTGATAAAAACGCAATTTCTGAGTCCCCGACTAGTCCCGACTCCTGAACACCCATGTAGGCGTCCGCGTAGCGCATTTTAGAACACTATTTTTAAGTGATTGTACTTAAAAATGTATTAAAGATTAATCTTGTACACATTCATCACTATAATCCAACAAAAATATTTTCTCCGTATTGTAAAATCCATCTAAATTTATTAATCACAAAGAAGAAAGATATGTATAATTAAGGCAGTAGAGAACCTGAAACAGCTTGTATGCATTGGGAGAGATGGTTGATGGCCAAACGGTCAAACAAATTATCCCTGTAAACATTCTTGGAAGGCGATACTGTTCCCGTTCTATAAGAATCGGCACCTGATTTTATTGCTTCAGCGCCAACGGATGGCCGGAGACGGCGTAGTTTCATTGTGCCGTTTGTCTTTTTCCGATGACGAATAATTGGCACTGTGAAGCTCTCATAACTTTGCAAACCATTTGCATTCATTTGGAGATTTCGGTTAATGTATATGGATATGTGTTTGTATATATATATACTTTTTCCCGATTCACTTAAGCACATATTTATGTATCCCGATTCACTTACACACATATTTATGTAAGATAAATTTTTTTTTGCATGTATACATTTGTTTTACGTCATATCAAGTACCCCCTCCGTCTCATTGAAAGATCATCCCACTATTCTTCGGTCAATATGAAATGTTCTTAATTAATGTTTTACTTTATATATCAACTTTTATCAAATTTAATTTTTCTTTTTGCGACATAATAAAACTTTTAATGTAGTTTCTGAATATGTAAATTTTATTTACTAAAAATAATTGTATTAATGACAGAGGTCGATTAATTTATGATCAATCAAACATCATACACCGTAAACCGTGTGGGATAGTCGTGACTTTTTCATTAAAAAAAGTTCTTTTTTGTAGAATTGAAAATTTCTTTTAAGGGCATTTATAAAAAGGAAAGTGATTTTTTCTTTTCCCGAATGGAAGTAATATGAGGTTATATAACCTGGGAGAATGAAACCGAGATAGAAATAAGAAACAAAATATCTAATAAAAGATGAAAATGGAACGACAATGAAGATTGATACCGACAAGTTGGTGGACACTGTTTTTTTACCGAAAGAAATCACCGGTACAAAAATGCATTGATTTGGTACTAATTTTTGGACAAATTATACTGTGGGATCGGCCCACCATGTACATGGTGTACCGATCCCTATACGGTACCGTTTTTTCTCTTCCTAGCAAATCAGCAATCTAGTACGATAGTACTATGTATTAGGAAGTTTTCTTTTTTTGTGCTCGAGGTTACTACTTTCTTTATCTTTGTTTTTCTTTTCTATTTTCTTTAATTGTTTTCTCTTTTACATCAAAATACTAAAAAATTATTTGTGAGTTTACTTATCTCTATTTTTAACCAATTAAATACAATTGAATTTATATTTTTCTCTATCAAATTATTACAAAATTTTATTAATCCACATAAAATAAGTATGTTCTATTTCATAATCTTACATTTTTTCTACATTTTTTATCTCCAACTGAAATTACAATAGAATATATATTTTTCGTGTAATATTTTTTAGATTTCATGTTCATAAATTTTTTTCTATAATATATTTCTTATCTCTATGCAAAAAAATCTTATCTCTTTGATATGTTTTTAGTGTTTTTAAGACATTAATTTTTTTTTTCGATTTAAATTTCATAAAACATGAAATTATATTACATTTTTCATATGTGTGAGTTATGTTTATAGACAATTTATGGGATTACATTTTATAGTATATAAAGTTACATCTTCTTATAGGCGAGTTACATCTTGTTGTGCATGAGTTACATCTTCCTATGCGTGAGTAACATTTAGGTTTGCCTCAACAAACTATATTTTTCATACAGTTAATTTAGATTTTTCATCAATGCGAGTTACATTTTTTCATAACACGAGTTACATCACAAAATAAGCTCCATCCATTGAAACCAAAAAATCAATTTTTTGCAAATTAAACAACAATGATTTTTTTTGAAAAAAATTGATTTTTCCACAAAAAGATGAATATGTTTGGCAAAAAAAACTTATTTTTCTTTGAAACATTTTTTCGGCCATAATACAAAAAACAAAACATGTTAACTATTTACGTAAATAATTTAAGCAATTAGACTCCTTATTTTCATTGTTTACATTTGATAGTGTATGGAGTTACTTCTTTTGAGCGAGTTACATCTTTTTATGTGTGTGTTACATCTTCCTATACGCGAGTTACATTTAGACTTACCTTAACAAGTTACATTTTGCATACACCTAAGTTAGATTTTTCATCAAAGTGAGTTACATTTTCTATAGCATGAGTTACATCACAACATAAAGCTCTGCTATTGAAACAAAATAATCATTTTTTTGCAACAAAAAAAGGCCAAAAATGATTTGTTTGGCAAAAAAGTGATTTTAAAAAAAATAATTACGACCTTAATATTAAAAACAGAACATATTCACTATTTAAGTAAACTCATACTATTGAAACAAAAAAATGACTTTTTTTTTTCAGAAAAGAAATGAAGTTTTGGCGGGAAAAATAAATTTTTGGAAAAAAAAAACGATTTTAAGGAAAAAAAATAATATTTATGGCCTAAATATTAAAAAAAACATATTCACTATATACGTAAAGTAATTGAGTAATTACTCCTTATTTGTTGGGTGTGTTTCGGAAAAAGAAGGAAATTAATTAAAATAAATTAATTAAATAAAATGACTAGAGAAAAACAAGAAAGGAGATGAAGCAGAATTAGTCAAAGCTCGTGCTACGCACGATGTCCTTAAAACGTATTTGTTGTCTCCCACGGTGCTAGGAGCGTTGCAACAATCGTTTCCCAGGATACGATAACTACGAACTAATGTTTGAACACACAAACAAGAGTTCCAACGAACGAGAACCGAGTATGAACACATAAGGAATTTGCAGAGTAGCTGGAAGTGTTTTTAGCTGAAGAAATTCGTGAGGAATGTATTGTGCGTTGTCAAACCGTGTGTTTGTTGCAAAGCACCTGCCAACCTTTTATAGGAGGATTTGTTGTGTGTTGAATCATTCATAAACTGTCCATTTAACGCTGCATTAAAAGAAGAACGTTGGGCATTTAATGGTTGTAACGGCTTGGAGCAACTTTGAATGATAGGTTTTCGGACGACATTCGTGTCCGCAGGTCGCCCGCGCACACGAGTCGCAGTTTTTCTTCTCCGTTTCGGGATTTGATCGGCACCCCTCTGCGCGTAAGGGAGAGCCTTTACCCTTAGAAATCTTAACTCCTTAAAAGAGGCTTCCCTTTATAAGGGGGTGAAAATCCCTTGAGTTTTTCAGTGTGGTATAAAACACACTAGAAACCCATCATTTTCCCAGTTTTTTCATTTCAACGAGTGAACTTCGAGAATCAATTTCTCATTCACCCGTTATCCGTTTTGAGTGTACCACATATCGAATTGTAGTCCTTAACAAGGACAATCCGAAACCACTTTGACCCGACCCAAATCGGAAGTGGACCTCACTCAAATAATTGCCCCAAAATGACCATTTAATGCAATTTTTAACACATTTTTCCAACATTATTTTCATGGAAATCAATGTTTTATTTCTTATAATCCATATTAGACAAGTTACATTTCAACTTGCATGCAGTTACATTTCTTATCAGCGTGAGTTACATTACACGCGAGTTACATCACTCTACCACTGAACACTGAAAAAAAAAGTTACTGTTCACGCGTGAACAGTAACACACGTTTTTTCCCTGTGGGAGCAACATGCTCACCGTGGGCTGCTCCCACTATATAACAACCCATTTTTTGCGATAAATAAAAGCGTTTGTCATGGATCATTTATACCATGTTCCGTGAAAATTTCCATGTCAACATGGGGATTTGTAATACTAGTAATGTTTTCTATCATGCTATTACAAAAATAGGAGTAACTTTAATTTCTTTCTAAAATATGATATTCTCCGATTTTTTAGTGGTATTGGATTTTCATTTGATTTTCAAAAATTTCAGACTTTCCATCTTATTTTCCTTAAAAAATTGCCTTTAGACTCCATTCAAGAATTTTTCGTCTCAAAACACAAATATGTAGTATCATGCAAAGCTTATCGTTTGCGTTTCTACCCATCAAAAGCAGCAAAACATTTTTAAAGTGCATATTTTCTTACTCTAAAGTAGTGCATCGAATTATGTATAAAATAATTACTATTGTGTTAATTATGAAGAAAGTATAAAAAGGACGGTCCACAATAGAAGAGAGAGCAGTTAGAGAACAAAATAATTTGTGGAATTGTGGGTGTAATTTGTAGTAGTAGACTAGTAGTAGTGGCTACAAACTGTGTGATTACTCCTCCAATAGGTTAAAGTAATTAACCATTCTTTCATCATTTGAAGTACTCCCTTCGTCCCAATTTGATGGTCTCATTTCTTTTGGCTACAAGTTTTAATAAAGTGGTTGAAAAAGTAAAAGTTGTGGTTGAGATTTGAGTATAATAAATTAAGTGAAATGATATGAACCACATCTTTCTTTCTATAAAGGGAAACAGGACCATCATTTTGGGACATCTCAAAAATGAAATACAGGACCATCATTTTAGGACGAATGTAGTAACATACGATCGTCATGATCGCAAAACGCAGTTACCTACCATCAATAAACCCATTACCCATGGTGATTCACTTATTCTTAACTGAACGTTCCTCTCAAACACATATTTTTCATTAGTAACCTACTCAAATGTATATACAAGATGGTGTGGCTCACTTTATGGTCATCCACTCAATTATCTCATTATGGGGTGTCTTGGGTACAATTTTTGTTAAAGGAAATAATAGAGACCGGTCTTGCTCTCAATGAGTTCCCTACCTTCACTTAGAGGTGTAAATGAGTCAAGTCGTTCGTGAGCTGCTCGTGAATCACTCAGGAAAAGTTTGACTCGAGTTCGGTCATATTAAGCTCAACTCGAGTTCGGTTCGCGAGTCTTTTATTTATTTTAGGCTCGTGGCTCGCGAGCCGTTTCGCGAGCCTTTGTGTCATATTTTATATATAATAATTATATATGTAATAACTATTTAAATACTTTTTTGGAATATGCATTCTAATTTAGGACTATTCCATTTTCAATACTTATCACAAAGTATATTATAATATTATAATAGTATATAATAATCACAAGAATAATAACATTTGCGTAGTGTTATTATTATAATCATAATCTGTAATAATTATAATGAAAAAATGGTCAAATAAGCTCTTCTACTATTTTCAATCCGTCACTTATACCCTTGTACTAAAACAAGTATCATATGAGTACGTCTACTTTTAAAATATCATTTGACCTGCTATAGCAGGTTATTTTTGTTTAATTTAAATTAGGAATATTGATAAATCTTATAAAATTCATATAAATTTGAATAAATAGTTTGATAATAATATAAAAAATAGTATAAATGTAAAAATGGATAAAATTTTAAA